TTTCTTGCATTTAATTTAAAGTGATGGTAATTAGTTTATTGGTCATTGCTGAGCAGTGAGTTGTCACCAATCAAGTAAACACCACTAGAGGTAAATGATATGGGTGTTTGACTGTATCGTTCACAGCATATTAAACATTTTAAAATCTACTGTAATGTATTTTGCACTCTGGTCATTTACATGTGCGTCTTTCCTATATCAAGATGTGCACATCCTCCCTTATAAATCACATCCAGACTATTTATCCTTCATTTAGAATAGATATATTCAGTTCACTTTACATTATATAGAATATTTCATAACTTAGTAGCTTTCTGTAAAGAGTGAAAAGTCTCACAACTGTAGATCATTGCACAGGTTAAGATAACAGGGTTGATACATTATTCCTGAGCAACTAAGTTGTGTCTCTTCAAACAATGTGATTAGCTAACATCTGCTGTTTCTGTGGCCACGCCCTTTAGAAAATAGTGTTTACAATTTGACCTTGTTGCTGTTTGTGAAATGAATGAGAAGTCATTTCATACATTTAATTTGTACACATAACAAGAAGCAAGAAGGCCCCAACATCTCAGAAGATGAAGCCAACCACCAGACCACTTAGCCCCACTCTCACAACAGAACTGAAATCCAGATAATTACTTTTGGAGAGAGGCCAAGAGAGGGCTGGTATCATTGTACAAGTTGACACGGTCTTAAACATTGTTTTATTGTTCTATTAAATGACTTGGGCATTGTTCTGCATCACATTCTAACTCAGCTCTGCTATAAAGTAGTGCAGGTATAATGTAGCTTTTTGACAATTAGCTCCAAAAGAGACTTTTTTTATTTTTTTTAAAGTGTAGAACTGATTGACAGAAGCATTGCATTTTACAGCTGGTAGGATTGGCTAATCTTATCAACTGTGTATTACCAAAATGCTAGGAGCATACTGAATGCACAAGTAGTACTTTTAGTACATCACTAAGTCAGCTGTCATGAGCTGAATTCAAGTTACAGTGTTTTTGTTTTAGATTTGAGTATCACCTCAATAAGTTATTGTCAAGAGGAGAGCACCAAAATGCTGCAGTACCATATAAGTGCATCAACAGTTCATTACCAAAAATCACCATAAAGATGATTCTTCTTCTTTCTGCTCCCGTTCATTCAAGAATGTTTGTGTCATGTTTAATTGTTTTGTTTGAACTCAATGAACGAAATAAAAATGTAATAAAATACAAATAAAATAAATAAATAGAGGATAGTTGAAATCTACAGCAGTCTCATTTGAGCAACATGCACATCTCATGATCAGACTTCACACTGGTACAGTGAATTACAGTGTTTGCGGCTTACACATGTCACAAGCTGAGAGGAACCCTAAAACTCCTATAAACACATGGCATGAGATATTGAGAGGAAACTGAAACTTTGCTTGAAGAGAGACAAAAGAGCACTGCAGCTGCCTCTAACAAATAGCAGACAAAAAATTTATCTGATACATACAGACAACATTTTTGTATGGCGCAATTCACATTTTAGGCAAAAGATATAAAAACTCAAACAACAGCTCTAGTGCTTTTGAAGAGATTCTGTATGCTCTTCTTGCAAACATTAGAAGGTAAAGCGGAAACGCTCAAGCCAGCTGGCTGTCAAGAATGTCAGTCAATGCAGTGAATGCTAAATGAAACCATCAGCATGTGTGCCGGTGCATGTTATGCACATGTGTGTGAAGGCAGGGGAGGGAGTGCTGTTTGAGTGATGTGCCCTTTTTCTAAAAGTGAACACTGAGGCGAAGACTAGCAACTGGCGCCAGCCATCAAATCCCCCCACCCTCTGAGTGATCCGCAATTATGTCAAGAGGGGAAAATGGTGTCCCTTTGAAAAGTGTTCTTAATCAAACCCTATTAATTCCGCTCCTTTCCCTTATTATTTCCACCGTGGACCACGTCCTGCTAGTCAGCCTGTTAACTAGAGCCTGGGCCCCAGTGAAGGTCATGCTTGGCCAAGCAAAATAACATCATAATGTGTGTAATTAATTACTAGTTCTGAGTGCGTCTTGAGCATATTCGGGGTGTTGCTACATTAAGTCTTTGTGACAAAGGTGTGGTGAAAGACAGTTATGACTAAATATAGCATGGTCAGACACTTTTCATCTACATTCTTTCTGTTGATTTATTATCCCAAACCACTGAGACGTAAATGATATATTTGGCAACTGATGTCACTACAAACCTAAAAACTTGTAATTACTGGCAGGGCAGAGAGAAATAACTTTTTATGAGTATTATGTCATGTTTGGGTAATTATTTTCATAGTTGAGACCCTTACATATTATCTGGTAAACCCAATCATGTTAAATTTTGTTGTGGTATAGTAAATCAGTACAAAACAGTGAATATGTAAAGACAAGTTTTCCTCTCTAAATGGCTAAGAAGTGTTTATAACTAATTATCGTCGAAACATGTCCTGAACAGTTTGAGCAGTATCAGTCTATTAAGCATTGTAAGAGCAGGGACAGGACAGCATGCCTTAGCTCTCTATAAATGATGTTTTTTTCTTTACGGCAGATGATCTGTGCCTATCCATTGCTCCCACGGGACCTGAGCTGTTTTAATATCCAAGATTTCCAGATCACAACATCCAAATCTACTCCTTTATAGACTGCATAATAACAGTAATAAAAAGAAGTTGTGAAACTTCTTACAGATGTGTCTGATTGGTGTAAACTGAAAAAAATAAGTTCATTATGTTTTGAAAAAGCAGTATATGATGTTATATAATGTTGCAAAGTGCTTGGAAACAAAATAGACCTCTATGCAATCCTCCCTCCCAAAATAAACTGGGCCAGTTAAGCCACATAGGCTACTGGAGGGCAATTACAGCTTGAGCCCTTGTGGCCTCACAGCCTTGCAGGCAGGGCCCCCTGACACCCCTGGTTGGGCCTGATGGAGTGGAGCTTCATCTGCCTAACGGCCTGGCAAAGCTCCACAGGCCTGGACGAACACAACAGGCCTCCATCAGGCCAGCTCTCTCTGTCACAGCTTACATGGCCTATTGTACACCAGCACTCATTAACAGCACAAAGTCATGTTGGTGGCTCACTAATGGATGTGTGGAAAGAAAAACAAGATCCACAATCAAAGTGCTTCTACAGTAGTGCTCTGTAACTTTATTCTGTGTTTTGCACATGGAAAATGAAAGCCACATTCTAAAAACTTAAAAAGACTAGAAATTAGTACATCATTATATTAAAACTGAAAATAAAACACCCTTGAGCAACAACAAAGTGGTTCTTCTAGTAAAAGTAATTGTTGCTTTTTATTTCTTTGGCTTTTTAGTCCACTGTAGTCAACAGAGATTATGACAATGAACAACAAAACAAACGGTAGTGTAGGTGCTGTCATTTTTAGAGGCCATGCTATACAGTGTTTGCCAGATAAAATCACCTCAAAGCATCATCAGAGTAATCAGCTTTACCTCTAGATATGTAATCATAACATCAACCTAATGACAAACAGAGGAAACTATGAGTGTGATACTTTGCAAGTTTGTGGTAACTTGATTTCATGACGAGTCACAGAAAGAAGGACGACAGAAAGAAGAAATATAAGAACATTTCCTTTGCCAGCCCATCACCTTTCTGCATTAATTTAATGCACACACACCAAATGCACATACAGTATAAAACATACACCCCATAATATTAGCCTCCTGCCTCTGAGAAGCGTCATCTTCTTGTGCTTGTGGTCCAAAGCTCCATCAAACTGTGCTACTTGCAAGAGGTAAAGAGGCTGCCAGCACCCGCTGACTTTCTCACTCTAAATCCACCCGACTTAAGTGAATATTTTGTCAACAATGCAATGAGGAGCATCTGTTACCAATAACAATGAAGATTAAGACAGTGTATACTAAAGAACAAGATTCATATGTAGTACTGTGGCGGTAATTTAAAAATATTAGAAATTTGCAAGTTTTAGGGGAGGGGCTAGGTTAATCGGGTCTTGAAAGGGTTTTTCAGGGGCATCTGAGGGCATTCTGTCTATGGCTGAGAATCTGGGGTTAATCGCTTTAAAAGCAGTAATTAGGTGTTAAGAGGTATGCTTGTCTGTTTAAATTAGCCTCCAAGTCAGATTATGCTCTGTGACTTCCGATAACATCCCCCATCAGAACTCAATGTTCTTCAAAAGGCCATTTTAATCATTTAAATATAAAACTCTTACATTCCCTTTAAACCTAAATCAAAGTTAACTTTGAGTGGAAGAGTTGTTTTAAATACACATTTTTACTCACTTTATTGCAAAAAGCAAATAGCTGAAAATATATTTTTAAAAATGCTGGGCAATATTCCACTGTAAAACACAGCAGAATTGAAAAAGACACAACCCAACCAAACAGACATAAGAAAAACCTTCTTAAAAAAACATATTTATAATAAAACAGTGGAGTTCTAAAGAACTAGATACCAACACCTCAAAGCGCAGTACATCGGTCAATAATCCTCATAAAAATATTATTACTTCAAGGGAACTGTGAGATATTACACCTAGGCACCTGTAGACGGTCTGTGCCAGTATCATGTTTTTTTTGTTTTTTTTAAGTATCTTACCACCACACAAAAAGATCAGAACATCATTCAGTTAAGACAGCAAACTTGTATAAATTTGTTAAACACTGCTACACATGACAACATGACTCTACACAGCCTCTCTAGATTGTATTGCAGTTTGTCAGTACTGTCTAAAATTCATCAGAGATATACAAAAATAATGCTGACAAGAAAGTGTCTCGTTTGTGTATGTCAGCATTCATGTTGATCATTCTCCTCAGGGCTAAAAAAACGGTTCATTAAAAATGAGATCCAGTTAAAAGAGTTGTGAGAGCTACTTATGAAGTGATAAAATACCTTTCAGACTTCTTTGGTGTCATGTATCCTCTTCATTGGTACATGAATCAAACAATGGAAAAGCAGTTTGTAAACATTCAGAGGAGCAGCTCAAAAATCCACATTCATCCACATTCAATCACATGTGCTGCCAGGTTTTATCCATTGACTGAATGTGCTCTTTGGCCTTCATCCTGAGGGCTGCGATGCTGGAGCTCCTGTCATCCTCCATTGGGTATTTATCATTGAAGCTGGGTGGGCACTGGTAGGGAGGTGGGCCCATAGGCTGCATACCTTGAACCATGCCAGGTGGGGTGTTGAGGAAGCTGTGGCTTGGGTAGGCAGGCTGCAGGCCCTGTGGTGAACCCATGAACCCTGGAATGGTGTGCATGGGTGTGGCACTGGAGATGGGTGAGGTCAACCAGGGATCGAGTGGCATTGGGTTGGCCACCTGCCCCACACTAGGAGGCATTGGGGGGCGGTTGAAGGACAGCATGGGGGAATCTTGGAGCTTCATGGTGCTAGTGTCCATCTTCTCTTGACGTCTCCACTTTGCCCTTCGATTCTGGAACCAAACCTAAATAGAGAGAACGGCACATAATGAGATGGTGCAGTGACACAGAAACACTGAGATACATGTGATCAGGAAATGTCTCACAGAACAAAAAATACAATATTTTATGATAAAACCACAATGTGTTGCAACACTGATTTTATGTTTTATGTTTTTAAAGTTAAAATGTATGTTTTTAAAGGAAATTGTTGCATTTGCAGCAAGATGAAAATTAAAGGCATTATAAAAAAAGGCCTTTATTTGGTACACTGGACATGAATATGCTGTCATGCCAAAAAAAAGAGAAAAAAAAAGTCATGAAACAGTGAAAATTGTTGGATTTTTTTATTTTATTTTTATTTTTAAGTTTTGGGTATGCAAACATTTTATCCTCTGTGAAAACTGCCTGTTGTTAAAAGTGATGATCTCAAACAAGTGATGAATAAAACTGACATTATGCAGTCATTCTCATAATTAAAAAAAGGTTACAAGGAAAACGTAAATACCCCCTACGTTTATCAAAGTCAATCCAACCCAGGAGCAAACCATCTGTTGCTAAAAGAAACCCAACATTTCCTCACAAAATCGACAGGTGACTTCTGTTCTCAAAGTGCTGCGTCCACAATCTCAGAGAGATTGTGTAAAGTTGTAAAGGTGTGCCAGGAAAATGTCTTTCCTGTCCAAAAAGAACATCACTGCAAAACTACACTTTGCCAATGAGTGCACAGGCTAAGAGCAGGCCTTTTGGAATCACATGCTCTGGACAAAAAAAGATAGAGGTTTAGGGTCACTGTGATACCAGACATGTTTAGTTCAGACCAAAGACAGCTTTTTAGGAGAAGAACCTCATGCTAACTTTGAAGCATGGTGGTGGAAATGTTATGGCATGGGGCTGCTTCACTGCCTCAGGGACTGGAAAGTTTACAATTCAGCTATGGATTCTGTATCATATTGAAGAGTGCTTGAGGACAATGTTAAACAGGTAGAAGAAGTGAAGATTTGAGTCTACTTAAAATGTTGCAGGGTAATTTGAAATTAGCAGTACATGCAAGAAAAAACCCAAACATCCTGCAACAGGGGAATGTTGTTTGGAAAACTGGCCAAAGGGCATAGCAAACTGATGCCAAAACATGTACAAGAAGTTATTTCTGCTCAAGGGGGCATTGTTGAAAAAGCTATTGAAAACCTTTATTTTCTCTGTGGTTGTCCTTATGTATGTCAGCTTTAGCTGCAGATACAGACATAAAGAGGATCCAGTGTTTGTGCTTTAGATAAATCAAGTCACCAGTTTTCATTGGATCGACTTACTTTCACACATGACTGTACTTTACAGTGCTTACCTGAACTCTAACCTCGGGCAGATTGACCTTCATTGCCAGCTCCTCACGACTGTAGACATCCGGATAGTGGGATTTCTCAAAGGCTCGCTCCAGCTCATGAAGCTGATAGGTGGTGAACGTGGTCCGGTTTCTTCTGTGTTTCTTTTTAGCATGTTCCTCCTCCTTAACCGTCTCTGGAGAGCCCTCAGCATCATCCACGTCCTTCTGCAAGTTGTTCATTTCTCCGTCACACTTGTCACCAGAGAAAAGGTCTGCTTCTATAATGAAGGAAAAGATACATACAGTGAAAGTCTTTCTTTGTTTTGTTTTATTTTTAGTGGCTCAGATATCTCTAATTACATTACCAAAACAGCAGTCGTCAACAATTTGTACTTTTTCCATGTTATAGAAAACATAATATTTGAGTTGAGCTGTTTTTCTCGATGTTGTCAGAAACCAAGCTGATAATCATCATTTTGCATTAGCAACTTTTTAAATCTTTTATTGCTGTTATGCTATGTTAAGGATCACAGCAGTCAGACCTTGTAATCAAATAATTCTTTCTCATTAGGCACAAAGATGTGACAAAGGGGAACATAATTGTATTATTTAACACCTAATCGATGTTATATTTTTAAACTCCAGTCACCCCAGTAGTCCATCCCTAGAGAGGGAAAACATCTTGACAAATCTTATTTGGCCGAGCAAATTCAAGGACAACAGGACAGAGTAGGGAAGAGTTCAAATAGTAATCAAGGATCTTGGCGTAGATGCAATAATCAAAACCACAAAGGTGCATTTTTCAGCCAGGGACTCCATTAGTTTGGGGACATCATTTTGTGCATTATGTTAGATCCCTGTTAAAAGTCAAACTCTGAAATGTTCACTGGTATGCTGAGTTGCATCAGTCAGTCTCTGGACATTGACACCTGAAAGCACTGTTTGGTTTTCCAAAGACAACTTGATTGGTATTTATTCATACAACATAGTTCAAGCATTTCTCTTTTTTTGATTTAGAAAGTAAAATCCTCTTTGTTTTTTTGGACAAAGTGCCCAAACAGGCAGTCACCCCCTACAATCCTCCCCACCCTGTCACCCTAATTCAGTCAGTGAAGTTACTAGTGTTCGCAATATCAAACGTTCAACAACATGCTCCTAATTCATGGCGTCATTTAAAATGAGATCTTATTCTATTCTTTATTGAGTGCTATGAGTAAAGCTTTCTTGACTAAAATTTAGGACAAAACATGTTGCCTGAGTTGCAAATATTCATCTATGTGTAATTGTTGATTCCTTAGAAAAAAGTAAAACACAGGTTTATCAAAAAGTGAAATCTTTATTCCTCCTCTCAAAATAGAGCAACTTCATGAGTGATGAGCCTATCTTTGCCTGTAAGAGTTTGTCAACTCCAGGGGTTTGACAGGTCCAAATGACATCACGTCTTTCACTGAATTCTTCCCCTGCAGTAATCCCTTAGTAACAGATGCTACCAGTTAAACCTGCAAGTCCCTGAGTCCCTGCCTCCTCTAATCTAACAAGGGACTTTAGGTGGCTTTTGCAAAAGCCAAGTAAACAGTTGTAGTCCAGATTGTGTTTTCCAAGTAAAGGATATAGAGCAGGTGAGCCATGTGAGTGATGCACCAAAGCTCATTATTCATGCCAAATTGTTTCGGGCAATATGTTGAACAAATCATTGCATTTTAATCATAACTCCAAGCAGCATAACTGTGATGAGGAGGGAATGAGTGTGAAGGTGTTTTTTTTTTATACCCATCAGAAATGTTTTTCATATCAGCATCCCATCTAGATTGTGATGTTATTGACTGTAATAAGGAAAATTCTACATTAAAATTAAAAATATTTTGGGCACAACAACATTTTTAAAGTTGGTCACAGAACACGGTTAAGTACAGGACTCCCTACATGCCTTTCACATCTAATGTTCTTGCAAGTTACAGGCATCATAGAGAAGTCTGCACTGGACACCGGAGGGGAAACAGAGAGGAGGGCAACTCAAGAGCGCATGACGGTGGACTGGGAAAGCAGAACTGAAGATCTACAGCTCAATGAGAAAGATAGAAGTGGAGGACCTTTGTCGCTGCCTTATATGCTGGCCAGCATACTGGGCATTTACGAAGTAATAGAACTGTGCAGTGAAAAAGCATTATTTTAAAATCTAAATTGAACTGCGGATCTTGCAGGTGAATCTTGCAAAAGAACTAATTGACATTTCCCTCAGAGCTCATACAATACACGCAACACTTGACAATGGTTTATGAAACAATGAAGCAGTGGCACTAAATGTCAGTGAAGACCAGAAGCTGTGCTCAGCTTGGATTGTTTGCAGTGGATCCCAATACTGAAAACCTTTCACAAATATTGGTCAGAACTGCTCTGCCACAGCTCACCATTTGCCTTTTTTGTCTGCTACTGTACTATTCACATAGGCTGCAGCTGTCTCAAGCAGCATGTTAGTAGGTTAGTGACAATTACAGCTTCATGTCTTTCATTATCAAAACTGAACGAAATCGAAACTAGTAGAATGTGTCAAACAGCATCCTTTATTACACTGAGGTTCATCTGATCAATAGTGAGGGCCAGCAACAGGTAGATGTACCTGACTTGGCTCCTATTTCCAACCAGTGGATCGATACTTGCTGAAGCCTGCTGTGTGGACAAGCATGGCTTGAATCCTCAGGACATTATTTGAAATAACTTCTCCATTCCAAAGTTACCAAACATACAAAAATGTCAGGCTGAATGGGCCTATGGTAAGAAGAGCACAAGTGTAATCGACTGCATTAATCTGCACTCTCTCCAATTCAGGTGTGCCAAGTAAGCTTGCGTGTACGACACCCAGACCCTGGAATGAAACCACTTGAATGGAACTGTAACCATCATTCACATTAGTGGTTACACCTGTGTTTAACAAGTCCCAAGAAAAATAGTGAGCCTTGTGACATCAAAGTGTACGTAACATGATGGACATGATATTTAACATATTTCCATTTGGTGAGCATTGCATACTCAGTTTAGGTTTTACCTAAAGATTAGATTAAAGGAAATGTAGAACAAGAAGATACAGACTCTATGTGAAGTATGCTTTCTATAACTGTAAAGTAATATGAAGTGTTATTTTATGGAAAAACTACATTTAATGGTTTAGTTTGGACACTCAGGAACTCAAGAGCAAGTTGTTATTAATCCATCTTTTTTTGGGGGGCTTTTGTGTTTTTGTGGTTAGACTATAAACGTGAGCATCTAGTTGCATAAAGTGCTATTTTATCAGATATACCGACAGTATGTTCTATCAACACAATATGAACCCAATCAAATGTATGGTTGCACTTTGCTACTCTGGCTAGTACTGCTGTTATAGCTGATTTTGAAAATAAGCTCTTCTCATTTGCAAATAAAAATCAAAATCATTTCAGACAGCGAATGAACTAAACATGACAGGTGCTGATCATAGGCAACACTGAAGGTCTTCAGAAAATTATTGGTACAAAAGTGTGTAGAGTTTTAACCTTTTAAAGACCCGAGCTCTTGTTTTATAGGGATTTTGTATTAAATAAAAATTTGAATAAAAAATAAAAAATACAAAGAAAATACAAATATATTTTAAAAAATATATATATATATATTTTTATTGTTTTTTTAAATATAAAACTATTTTAAGTAAACAACAATAATAAAATGCTACCACTAATAAAATAAAATAAATAAATAAATAACTACTATGGTAATATAAGCCAAAATGTGATGTTCACACATGTGGATGCCAGGTCTTAAGAGGTTAAACACTCTGACAACCAGGCAAAAGTCTGTTTTCTGAAGACTCACCGTGGTAGGAAGAATGCTGGGAGCTGTCACCCAGTTCTGGAAGGTGCCCGTAGTGGTTTGACGAGGCCTGCTTTTCAGGGTCCTGTGGGTTTGCTCCATTGGCTTTTTGGCTGTCATCACCTCCTACCGAATGGAGTAACGGGTCCTGGTCCTTAGTGAATCCCAGTATGACATCGATACTGTGGACCCTGCCTCCACTGCTTGACCCAGCTCCTTTTGCCATGTCATAGTTGTCCAGACAACTATCGTCCACTATTCCAAGGGTATCCATTGACAAATGCATCCGAGCCTTTGGACAGGCTTTCACTCTTCTTTGCCAGAAATAAAGCAAAAGGCCACCAAGTGAAACCAGGTAAAGCAGCTGTTGTACCGAGCTGTTTCACTTCACATGCAGAATGGAGAAGATTTATGTGAAGTGTGAGGACTTTATCCTTCAAGGTAGACTTCAGTGAGGTGGAAGGTATTGTTTCTGCAAGTTCAGGACAAACTCACATCTTTGTCTGCGAAGGATTGAGAGAAAAGAAAAAAGACAACACATGCAGTAAACCTTCGCACTTACACTGAGTGATCATTTTTAAAGGCCTGTTACTGTGTTTCACATGTAAGATTTGTAGTGGAAATAAGACGTGCCAAAAGATATCTGTATTAATATGCAGTTTCTTGGTCTCTTATATAGGAGAAAAGAAAAAGACAACACATACAGTCAACCTTCACGATTATATTTAATAGTTCCTTTAATAGTTACCTCGTTATTCTTTAGAAACTGTTTAACATGTAAGAATTATAGGGGAAATAGGATGTGCCAAGATGATAAATATATTAATATGCAAGTCCATTGATTTAGCTAATCAAGATAAATTACTTTAAACAATACGAGTGAATATCTTTAGTCTAATTTAATTTCAATTACAATGTCATGTATAACATTATGAGTCATGTATTGTTGACTACATGCAGGTCTTTTACATTAAAAAAAATGAAAAGGCAAAATTCATTCGTCAGTAAAGAATTTTTGCTACAAAAGTTTTTTTGGGGTTAGTTAATATGTTAAATTAATACTATCTTTAAAAAAAAAAAAATCACAATCTCTCTCAAGACTGATTCCCATTAGTTTTACCTAAACATTTTAAAACGTCTATGTGTTTGAAGTTTCAGCATGCAGCTGATTTGGTTTAAAATTTGCAGTTAATATGGTTTTAAATAGATGACATAGTTGACAGAATGTACAGTGAGAAAGTATATAAAGTAATCTTACCTTCCTTTAGGTTCCTGACATAAGCTACGCTACGCACATGGTGTCTCTGTGGTCCGTAAGCAGACAAATGACACTAACAATATCTACTGTAGGCACTTGTTACTCCTAGTTAAGTCCTTGAAATCCCCTGCAAACAATTGAGCAAAGGACCTACTGCCGGAGTCCTGTGCAACAAGAACATGTAATGTCTTCCGATCTCTTGACAAAATTCTCCTTAACCACACAAGACACCAAAGCTGGTGGGGGAATGGTAGTAAAACCAAAGGCTTTAAGAGGTTTATTAATTGGAATCCTTCCCCTTTAAGAATGACTGACAGTTGTTTTCTGGTCAAGTAATTGCTCCAAATGTGTCCTGCATTCAGACCACAGAGGGAGGCCATTGCTAATGAAGCCTCAACAAAACTTTCTTTCAAAAAATCTATTGTCTAAAAGATAATGGCTTGTACCGAGAGTTTTCGCTAATCCCTTCATTATAGACAATGTAAGGGAGAAAAGACACAGAGATGGACTTTTTACTTGAATGACTGCACACTGTAAAGACTTGTATTCATAAAATAGTTTTATTCAAGTAGGCACTTAATTCTTGCACAATTGCTTTTTTTTTCTAGCAGACTTTAATAAAGTAAAACAAAGTGAATCACTTGTGGTTCAAAGCAAACGTGAATGCATTTTTTTTTTTTCAAAGAATTGAATAGACAGTGTATCCTTAAAATACAAAATACAACAATTTCATATTTAAGATTTTTTTAAGTTGTTTTATTTTTTATTTGTTTAATTACACAGTTGCTCTAAATATGCAAATAATCAGCTGGAAAGTAGTAATAGTATCTGTTTGATGTCTGATGCTGCATTTGTCATGTTTACACCTCCAGCTAGCAGCCAGTACAGGCCTACACAATCAAAGTAAGGCAGTCCTCTATTTAACCTAATTAATTCAAACATAAACAATCAGTAAGCAACACTAATGTTGAACACAGTCTACACCACTCCTTCACAATACCTCAGTCTATCAAATAAATATATATATCAAATAATGGGCAGTTGGACAAATATTATTTTTCCTCTGCTTCTAATAGTGGAATTGGGTTAGGGGCATCAAGGGTGTTACATCCTGCAGCCAGCAAGTTTCTCCTTTGCCAGCTGGCACAAACAAAGCTGCTGCAGCTAGAGTAGGTGTTGCAGAGATCAATCCCCTCCCTAATTAGCCTAAAGACTTCACTAGAGATTTCCTCTGACCTCACTCCTCCTACCTGAAGATATATTTAGGAGTTCTCTGCACGTCACACACAAAAGCCAACATGAAAAAATTTGCACAGAAAGTCATTTTTGAAACATATCACATTGGGAAGCAAATGTTTCAAAAATGCAAATTGTCTTGGAAGACCTACTTTTGAATTGAACATCATAAGACAGGCCACCGCAAGGACGACAGATTATTTTTTTTTTAATGTATTTATTTTATTTATTATATAAATATTATGTTATCCTTTGAACTCCTCCACCCTTCTGGGTCCATATGCCTATATTTAAACATGCTGTGTGTCTGTGATGGTTTAATTAAATTCAATTTACTAGTTTGCAAGTATTTACTCTTTAATTGGACCCTTTTTTAAGAAGGGGAAACCATATTTTTCATAAGTTTTCCTTTGGATGCTCTTTTATGCATTGCACCATTTTAACAATAGGTCATTGTTTTTTAAAATGGCCACAATGACCAAAAAAAATACAATGATCCAATTTGCATATTGGATAATTTTGTAATGTAGCAGCAGTCAGTGCAAGTTCTGCATAATGCCAGCATCCTTTGGAATAAATGGTAAATGACATGTTTTTGAAATGCCTTCTGACATGCACTAAAGGACATGAAAAGGGATGCACCATTATCTTGGAATCAGTGGGACCATTAAGCAGCAGAGGAATTGTAAATGCTGACAAGTTTAAGGCCATCTGGCAACACTGACAACGCTGAACAGAATGGCTATAGGTTAAGTGGCTTTGTCTGACTGCCTTTTTTAGTTGTCAAGGCTGTTTTCCAAGAAAGGAGAGACTGAAAAGCCCATTACTTTTGCCTGTGAATGAAATAAAGAACTTAAAGATGCCCCCTGACAGGGATTTGCCATGAAGCAGGCTGCTGCCATATGGTGACTACAAGGAAAGTCAATGCCTGCGAGGTGTTACAGTGCCACCTTTCTCTAACTTTCAATATGTGCAAAAACACCCACCCACACACACACATAAAAGAAGACACAAACAGACTTTTTTTATTCATTAAATGATTATTAACACACTATTATGCAGTTCTGTCATCAAATATATAAGAGCACTAAGGCAAAGTATTAAAAGAAGCATTATCTTGTGAGTGACATCCTGTTGTTGTCAAGAAGTCAGCATGCGTGTGTGTTGAACGTGGATTCTATCAGATTCCAAATGCCTTCAAGAACAATGGGCTTATAAACTGGTAAAAACACTGCGGCCGACTCTATTATGGTGATTATTTGGACATGTAATATCAGGGAAAGCTATAATAGTGATGTCATGTACCATAATAAAGAACATTAATGTTGGCTCTGTTTCATGTAAATGCTTTAATGAGCCAGCAGGTATAAAAACCTGCAAGGGCCACTGACCTCTGTCAATAAAGAACTGTCGTCATTTCTGACAAGTCAGAATATTTGCTGGACATCTACTTGGAAATGCTATTGTCACTGTTGAAAGATAATGTTTAATCCATTCTCAGATCTCATCATTTTATCACATTAATATATTAAAGCTGTCCCTCTTTGCTTGTTTCCCCATTATCCTAATTGAGTACAAATTGGTTAAGAGGGTGCAGCACAGCTATCAAGCGCCTTAGTTTTATCAGATGACAATTTAAGTCCCTGAGATCCTATTAGGAAGAAAGCAGCTAATGTTTAAAGGCGCTGTGTCAGCTTACAAGGGGAAAGGGGGATGGTGAGCAGCAGGGGGATGACAGGGAGACGATGGAAAGGGAGGGTAAAATGCTGGTCATGGGATCAGCTGGAGCTAAAATAGTAAGAAAAAGCTGAGTTGGGCACACCTTGTTTAGCCATGGACTTGCAAGTTCATGGTAACTTGGGAATGGCTTTAAGGACTTTACCCCTAGACTGAAATGCTTAAAAGTTTCAAATGTCAATTAAATTTCAATAGAAGTAAAAAAAAAAAAAATTTTTTTAAATGGACACTTTATTCATGAATCGATCAAATAAATGATGTGATGTGACCATAAAGTAACAGAGTGGCCAAGCAGCTAGAGAAGAGAAAAAAAATCATCCCTAGATTGAACTGAACGTCCTGTAATGTGCTCCGTAGACACAAGGAAAGAAGTCCTGCCAAATCAAGGTGTACAGTGAACAACAACGCTTTTGTCCTGTTATGCAACTTCAGCCACTGATGCAGATGAAGTTATAAAGGAAAAATATATCTCCGTAACATTCAGGTACTTTATCCGTTAATCTTTTAGTTTGTCATAACAGTCATAGAGTTTACCCTCCTTCTACTCATCCAGATTAGGACGTTCCCATTGTTAAGGCTTTCCTCACTTAAAGTCTAATTTAACCTCTTTAACCTTTTAATCAAACAAACAAGCTGAGTGATTGTCTCAAAAAGGATTACAGGTTACTACTTCAGAGACTGTTAGCTCTGTCTATACACAGACTCTTATTTGTTAAACGCTGCAGCTTGGTGAACCTAAATATTTTTAAATTCTTAAATCTTAATTTTTTTCTCAACGCACATCCAACTCAGTCTTATTTGGCACGTTGAGGGTGGAGCATGTGATTCTATTCCATTTTGTGACATTTACAGAATATCTCTTCACATTATTATCATTAGTAGTAGTAGTGGTAGTAGTATTGTCAATCATAATATAATCAACAATTTCCCTGAGGTTTGCACCAAAGGGATCAATAAAGTTTTATTCTATTCTATTCCAATAATTATAATAATAATGTTTTAAAGAGGCATATGAATTAAACATCACATGAATAACTCAACCATGAATATAGCAA